TGTCTGTCCTTGCAGATGAAAAACAACAAGAATCCAAAGAGCAGAACTACAACTGCACTAACGACTCCAGCAATAATCCCAGTTTTCGGTTTGTTTGAACCACCTATCAAACAGATGAAATGAGTAAAACATTCTATATACAATGTATTGGATCAAAGAAATAAAACACGACCAGAATGCAAAAATCAGCAAACCGATGAATCACCTGAACCCTTATCCTCGGATACACACGGGTGAGGATTAGGATTACCACAATTCAAGCTGTTTCCTGAGAAACTACAGACCGGAAGACCATATAGGGTAGGGTTAGTGCATGAGCAAATGGAAAAGCCAAATTGATACACTGCAGATAGTTTATTTTAAACCTTTCAAGTAGTGTTACCTACTTGTATTTTGGGATTTCAAATAAACTCTCGGGAATCTGACCTCTGAAATTGTTTGAATCAAGAAGACTGCAAAATGAAAACGGTACTAAGACAACGAAGATGTTTCCAGAAAAGGGTAAAGCAGATACGTACAAAAAACAACTTACAGATTAATCAGGTTTGAAAGACGGGTAAGTGATTCGGGGACACTCCCATTTAGGCTGTTCCTACTCAAGGTCCTGGTTTGTAAAATACAGGAATATAAAGACATGATCCTTTTCTGTCTCAAATGTCTAAAGACAAGTACAAGATTAGTTGCATAGCGGCAGCATTACTTACAAGAACTGAAGGTTCTTGAGATTGCCAAGAGTGGACGGTATTGGACCAGTTAACCGATTGTCCTCCAAATCCAAGCTGTTCAAACTAGACAAATCTCCAAACTCTTCTGGTATTCCACCTGTAATGCCATTCCCTTTCAAAGTACTGCATACCAAAAGATTGACAAGGTTCTCATCACAAAACTTGTTGTAGAACATATTAACATTCGCAAAAAATCCCCGAAAGTCAAAAGATTTTCTGGATGAAAGCCATGACATGAAAACCCATATACAAACAACGAGCAGAAAAAAAAAGAGTTATATCCACAAGTTTATAGTTTTTTTCCGCTCTCCCGTTTCCTCGTCCTCGTCCTACTCCATCTTAAAACAACATGTCAGCATCATGACCGAGAGAGAGGTGCCATCTCCAAAATTATATAGACAACTCAGACAACTGCGGTACTTACAGTGTCTTGAGGGTATTCAGGATTCCAATTCTTGGAGACAAGGTCCCCGAAAAGTTCATGTATGACAATGTCCTGCATTCACATGTGGAATATAAAGTTTAATTCTTCTCTCCAACTAAGAAAAGGTAACGAAGATTAGCTCGGAGATTGCCACAAGTTCTGCATTATCCAACTTACACAGAAGTGACAGAGTTATTGTCATCACAAATAACTTGGGACCAAGTACAAGGATTCACTTGATTCTGATTCCAGTCACCTAGCTGATCGGGTGTTGCACGTAACGAGTTCCTCAATGCAAATAAAGCATCTCCTGAAATGGAAAACAAAGAGCACTAATACTAAAACTATGGAAAACCCTACTGCATTCTGAAATCGCTCCATCTTTAATCTAAAAGGCACAAGGGGTGTGCGAAAATTTTGCCTTACCTTGAGCATCAGGCAACACAAACGACCATAAACAGGCAAACACCAACGCGGCTAAAGCCAGAGCCATCTTCTGCCGGTTAAAGCGGAGTATGATTTCTATTGAATGTGATAATTTGTTCCATCTACAAGAACATTAAGAAACGTCGAAAAAAAAAGAACTTTATTGTTTACAGAGGCACATAAATGCAAGGAAGAACACCTCGTACTGAACAAGTGTTCGTCCAATACGGTAAGGCTTTCACTTCAGTGGATCTGCCGCATAAACAGGAGAAGGATTAACTAAAACGCTATCAAGGACGGGAGACTCGCAGAATTTTCGAAATCAAATGAAACATGATGATCACAAAACTGATTTTATCGGATCTTGGGACTTGAAGAACAGATAATTTAAGCTTGAGATCGAAATCCATCATTGAAACGTGAAATGGAAACAAACGGAGAGTTCAAGCAAAGTGAAAAACAAAAACTTTTGGGTAACCCAGAAGAGCACTGACGAATTTTCAAAGGAAATAAACAGAGCCCACAGCTCAAATCGCTTAAATTCCCACAACCCGACATGGGAACGCCAGATTTACGACTACCCAGAAGAGCAAAATCATAACCCAGAAAGAGAAACAAAGGGAAAACAAACAAACAAACCTGAGACAAGGGATTGAAAAAATCCAGAAAGAGAAAGGAGAATTCACTCGGAAATATCCCAAAGATTATGTTCCACCAGCGGCTAAAGCTAAAATCTCGAAGAGAAAGTTCAAACCTATCTTCTTATTCTCTCCGTTCGTTTGAGGAAGAAAGTCTTCGCAATTATCAAAGTTGCTCTCTGCCTTGAGTCAAAGGAAAAGGAGCGATGATGGTCCGAGCACCGCTTTTACTGCGTGCCACTTGTAATTAAATATTTCATTACTAACGATAATGATGACTATTATGTGACTAATGACCATACATTCCCTCTAGTCTTTACATATATATTTTTTTATTTGACACAATCCTTTTAATTATTTAGAATATTTCGCTCGAGTAGGAAATAAGTTTGAAAATTCTTTATCGTGATAATTTTGATAAAGGAAAATCAAATGTCGAAGCAACGGAGGACGTAACTAGTGAGACCGTACCGACCATTAATCTTGGGGTGGACCATTGATAATTTAATGATAGCATGGGCTTTCAAATTTCTATGTTTTTTATTTAGGTTTCTATAAAGTTATATTTATGTAGTTGTCGTGTTTTATTTATTCCAAGTTTTATTGACGATTCAGCGAGCAGATCAATTAAAAGATTAAAAAACTATTTAATTTTGTCTCTGTAGACAATAAAATTATGATTCAACGAGCAGATTAATTAGTAAATTATTAAATAACAAAAATATGGGGTGAGAGAGGTTCGAACTCTCGACCTCAGGATCACTCAGAAGCTATGACACCTACGCGCTAGCCAACTGCGCCACCACCCCAGTTGTTGTTTCGGATGATGAAATTAAATATCATATCTAACCATTGTGTTCCCAACTCATGCCCTTGGCGGTCGCCAAAACCAAACAAAAAAAAGGTACTATGAGTTTGGTGAAGATGCTTCACGGGCGCCACAGTCCAAATAATTCTATAAGAATTTACGAAATTAGATTATTTTGATCTCAGTCAAGATCGTATCTAGATTACATGTACGGTATTATAAGTTTCATGTAGAGGTCGTTTCTTCCATTCTCAATAGCAACAATGTTTCATATATATATATATGAGAGTACATTGGGTTGGGGGGGGGGGGGGAAA